GAGACTATTGATTAGGCTGTTGATTGGAACTAGATAATTGTCCTTGCAACTATGGCATCAACATAGACAAGATTTGTTGGCATTGACTTGGAGTAATTGTGAGATCTGAAAGAGAATTCATCACATCTGAACTATTACAATGCGATGCCTGTTCCACAACACTTGCAACTAGAGTGATTCATTTACTAAGCCTGTGGCTAGGAGGATACCCTATCAAATTGTAGCATTTTTCTTTAAGTTATGCATACCACAATAACTACACATAGGCCTTTCCCTTTTCTGGAATTGATTTAGTGACATAGTTCTCTGAGTGCTAAAAGGTTTTTGCACTACATTGATAGCAAAAGCTGCACCATCAAAATTTTGTTGTTTCTTAATAGCAACCTCGTTCTGCCTCTTGTCTTGTATAATCAGTGCAAAAACTTTATTCAATGAGGGTAAAGAATCCATTATAAGGATTTGATTTCTGACACCAGAGAATTGTTCGTCTAGCCCCATGAGAAACTGCATAACCTGATTTTCACACTTGTAATCAGTGTTGCTAACACCTGGTCTGTAATTATCCAACTCTTCCCAAAGTCCTTTGAATCGATTGAAGTAAGAATTAACTGAGCTATTTTCCTGTGAGAATGAAGCAATCTACTTCTTTAGTTCATAGATCCGAGGACCATTACCTTTACTATAACGATCTCAAAGCTCGATCCAGATTTCCCTTGCAGAATCCTTGTGTACAACACTTGGATAAAACTTATTTGGGATGTAATTTATGATCCAAGAGGAAACCACATGCTTGCACCTCTCCAAGCACCGTAAAAAAGATCATCTTGCGACGGTTTAACAATTGATCCATCAATGAATCCTTCCTTGTTTTTGACACTAAGTGTCATAGTAGCTGCATGACTCCACATCGCATAGTTTTCTTCAGTGAGCATAATTGAGATGAGTTGCATCCCTGTGTTATCGCCATAGTGAAGATAATAATGATTATTATCCATCAATGATTATTCTGACCGCTTATCAATTGATTAACTATCGAATTTACATTTCCAGCAACAACTTCTCCAGTTGATGACTTGATGGGTGAATTGACGTGATCGGGCTAACTTTAAATCTTCACTTGAACATTGGAATTCGCCATTGCCGAGAAGCTTTATGTTCTGATACCATGTAAAGTTGTAATGAAGGTATAAGAAGAAAATGGAGGGAAGAGAAAGTTTTTTATTTTGTTAAAAGAATAAATCATTATTCTGATAACTCTGCTGCACATGTATATATATACAGAGACTAACAAATCCTAACCAAAAGAATCAAAATGCAATTACATAAATAGCCCTATACTATTATGGTTTAATAGTAAACACAAATCAAATTTATATATGAGTATGAAATCGAATTTTTAGGCAAGCAACGCATAATTTGATTTTATGAAGCAACCCTAGTCCATATTACCAAATAACAATCCAAAATAAATATCCCTTTGTGCCTGTCATCACCTTTCACACAATAATTTTAGTTAATTTCGCATTATTTAGATTTTTGAAGTTGAGTGGTCACAGGGAAAGATGGTTGTCTTTGTGGTGCCGCTTGTTGGCCTCCACTATTTTTGATAGTGAAGAGAACAAAGCGTCGAATTGTAAGTAATTGAAAATTGGGACGGGGTGGAGTGTTAGAGACTAAATTAAGACTTTGTTCACACATTATGTGTATTTTATCCATTTTACCTCAAGCCTCTTAAATCGTCCATCGAGATTGGTTGTGCACACATTTTAAAAGTATGGAGACAACTTTACTCCGTTTGTTAGGCCGAGAACAAAGTTTATACCATGTCAATAGATTGAGGACCAGGTCGCACAACTTTCACAATGGTAAAAATTGAGTTAATTGTTTAAACGCACACTAAACTTTGCATAATATCACGTTTCACTTACTTTACTTTAGTTTGCACTTGAACTTTGTATAGTTGCACTTCATCACTCATCGGATAACTTTCGTCTATGTCAAACGCTTACGTGGATAATGTGTTTGACACGTGGCCGTTAAATATGTCCAACTCAGAACGAAATGCCAAGTCATTAAATACCATCTTTAAACATGCCATTTAAATTGAAAGCGTGAGATGAATTGATTCCAGAAGAACGAGATCAATCACAGGAAAAATCTTCATCTCTCAAATCAAACATTCACGTAGTCTCAAAATGTCATGAAAAATTGAAATGTCCTTGTCGCAATTTATTGTGAAGTTGGGTATGTACACGTTTATTATATTATGAAACATATCTACAGCATATTCATGGATACAATACGTTTTTTGTTTGTTAGGAAAGAACAAGGAAATTTGTCACGGTTACTGACATCCAGTCCATCGTGTGTATGCCCAAAAAAACAACGATGTCCACTTTGTGAAGATGGCTCCACAGAATGGATGGAAGTAGAAAAGAAGACCGCAAACATAGGTCAGTTATTCTTTTGTTGCACTAGAGATTGCAGATTTTTAGAGTGGAGTAACGTCTTGTCCGACAAACGAAAATCAGTACAATATGAAGAAGGTCAATCTAGTGGTGCTAAAGACGAATGGAAGGTCATGCCAATTGAAGATCTGTCGCGTTTTTTCAAAACTGTTGCTCAAATTACTGTACAAGAGGACGTCGAGATATCCCTCAACATAACCGTCCGAAATAGTAAAGGAGACATGGAAGAGAGAGGGAAACAAAGGGGAAGAGAGTCGTGAATTTATTCACCTATCTGCTTGAGGAGAAGAAATAGCTTTAAATTGCATGTTTTAGTAATAACAACTAGAGTTTTTGTGATTTAAATTTTGTGTGAGTTGACGTTAAACTGGTGAAGTTTGTCTCTCGTTGATGTTTGATGTTGTGAAGTAATGGAGCATATCAATGATTTATTTACTTTACATGTGTTGAAATAGGTGAGTATGACTAAGGTTGATCACTTTCTTGCCTAAATTGCTTTCCAGGAATTACAAGATAACAAACTAATGTCTCGAGTCTCTCAGATTTGGCTAACCTCTATGTTGTCCATATAGATCTTGTCCTGTTTAATATAGAGAATTTTTAGGTGAATGCCATAGGGATCTTGGAAGTTAAATTTCAATACTCTTCAATTCCATAGCTATGGAAGAAATGCCTTTGTTAGAACGCTTTGTCAATGAAGAAACGCCTTACCAATCTTGTTATAGAAATGGAACATAACAAATCACCAGTTTCATTTTTGGAATTGTAAAACTGTACATCAAAACAGCAGCAATAATCAACAACCTGCCTTCAAAAAACACATATGCCCCTGCCGCCTAAACAACTAAAAAAACCAACAGCAACACCGACAACATCCCTTACTGCTTCCTAATTACATCACCTATACAAGTAGCAAAACCATCAAAAAGACACATCAAACACTACATAAACAAGTTGAGGTGTGTGATAACATCGGATGTCCCTGCACCGTTCATCTTGCTGTCTTCACAACTAAAAAAAAAAAAGAACTGCATCAAAACCAACAACATCCACACCTATTTCCTAAGTACATCACCACTCAAAGTTAGGGACACAAGCAGCTGGCCAATCAACCGCAGTCGTATTCCGTTAATTGGATTCATAATGTTATCGTAGCATTTCAACTACGTATCAACTCTTTAATAGTTACCGGACGATATGTCGTTATTGGAATCATTGAAGTCGAGGTCATCCTCCGCATCTGTCACATAAACAAGAAATCGAAAACTATCAACAACAGCCCTATCATCATTGAGTAAATATATGATCACACGACAATGCCATGACCAAATGATATACAAGAATAATATGCACCATATGAAAGTAGCAATAGGAAGAAACTTAACTATCAGACAACTACAACAATGACATAAATAATGCAGTTATTAAGTGCTTATGATAGGAAAATGAGGTTTATTTAAATGATGAATCAGAAGAGTATGTCGTATAACAATAAGTGCAGAAACAATATTCCTAATGATAATTAAGGAGTAAGTGACAATAATGTTCGATTTTCATCTAAAATAATTTGGAACATAAGATTTGCGTAAAAAATCTAAAATCATATTGAAGAACATAATATTTCAATAAGAATCAACTTCTAGACAACCTTTATTTTATAATATTCTATAAATGAAAAATCCATAAATAGAATTTTGTAAACATTCGGATAAACCAGTGGGGTAAAGAGGAAAAAAAATGAAGAAACCAAAAATCTCAAAAAAAAAAAAAAAAANAAAAAAAAAAAAAAAAACCCCCAAGATTCGTGCAATCAAGTGATTATTTTTTAAACATTCAAATAAAAATAGCATGAGATGTAAAGAGGAAAAAGAAGAAACCCAAAAAAATAAAAAATGATAGCCTATGTCAAAAAGTGGGCGATTGGCATATACAAAAGTTACTCGAGCGATGGAGTGCAACTATACAAAGTTCAGTGGGTAATTGAATGCAAATTAAAGTACAATGCGACATTACCCAAAGTTTAGTGCTTGTTCTAACAATTAACTCTGTAAAAATTAACTGTTTAACCTCCTTTCCGTTTTCACCTTGTGCCAGCACGTCGGTTAATCTCTCCTCCCACCTCTCTCTCTTTTGGATTCTATCTCTGCTCAAATATATATACACAAATAGAACCAAATCTCATCAGCAAAAACCCCTTCTCCTCCCTCACACCTTTTCCTCATATTTTCGATCTCTCCCAATCAAAATTAACTATCAGATACGCAATCCATTTCCGCCAATTAATCGGATTCACTTACATGCTCATCGTTTTATATAGTTTCTTTTATTTATGTAAGATTTGATTACCTGAATTGCGTGTAATTTTTCGATGTATGAATTACGGACAATCGATGCTTGTTTGTGTTAATCCGGGTGTATATAATTGGATTTGCGAAAATTTTGTACGTTTTAATTAGAATCGGTCGAGTCGAGGTTGAAGGCAAAATTTGGAGATGAAAATTAAATTAATGAGGAACTGATATAAGGGGGAAAATGCCAGGGATAGCGGAGAGAAATTATAGTTATAGGGATAACAATATTACCAATTATCAGAATCCATCGGTGGGGAATGGGACGATGTCGTTTCACGCCTCCAATGGATCTCTCATTTCAAGTGGCAACGGGAATGGGTTCTGGTCGAAGCATCGTGATGATATCAGCTACAATCAGCTCCAGAAGGTACATATATTTTATTTACGATTAGGTTCAATTCGTTTTTTGTTTAATAATGTACCACAGAGTTATCTTCTCCTGGGCAGTGTTTTGATTAGATATTTTGAGTTCAAGTTGGATTTTATAGTTTGGATGATTGAGTAGTTGAGTTTTTTGATATGTAAGTTCACTGGGAGTGACTTCTCTTACAATGGTTTAGATCCATACTAGGTTTTAGTTGCCTTTTTATTCAATAACAGTAATGGGTTGTTTTGCTTTCTTTCTGCTTTCTTGTTTTTTGAGTTCTTAAATAAATAAGTCATTGACGTAATGCTTATTTACCAAAAATTGTATTGTCCTATATTAATTTGGTGGATAACAATGTGAAATTCAAATATAGTTTGAGGGTTCGATGCAGACTACAAAATGTTGCAATCATTGTTAGCTGCGTGCAATTGAGAAATTCATTTACATATAATCTGATGGATAAGCACTTGATATCTCAGCTATTGTCCACTTGAACGATATAATGTGCACATAGTTAACTCAAATATGTTTTCTTTTCTTTTCTTTGACTACGGGCTTAGCACAATGCTTCCCTCTGTCATCATAATCTGTACTATCAGTATATAAGTAATCTTCTAGTTGTTTTGACCTATGTTAGGTTATTTTAGTTTGAATGGAGTGTGATTTTTGTTCGGACTGTGGAACTGGCAATCTATTTAAGACCAGTAACCGAATTGAGTAATGGTGAGTGTATTATTATGTTGTGCTCTAAATTGGACTGTTTTGGTTCTTTTGTAGTTTTGGAGTGAGCTGACGCCACTAGCTCGACAGGAGCTCCTAAGGATCGACAAGCAGACACTCTTTGAGCAAGCTCGTAAGAACATGTACTGCTCTAGATGTAATGGGTTGCTGCTTGAAGGTTTCTTGCAGATTGTCATGTACGGAAAGTCTCTACTGCAGCAGGAGGAAACAGGTGGCCATTACAGTGTAAGAACCACAAAACATCAAAATGATGGTGACTTGGGTATGACAAATAGGAGCCAAGATGATGTTCAAGATCCATCTGTCTATCCATGGGGAGGTCTAACCACTACCAGGGATGGGACACTCACACTTTTGGATTGTTATCTTTATTCAAAATCTTTGAAGGGACTCCAAAATGTAAACCTTTTTTTTATATATTGATTATATATGCCACTTTTTTTCCCTCCCATTCGGCCACTTACAGTATCTAGCTTGGTTTTGATTTATATCAGGTGTTTGATAGTGCGCGAGCAAGGGAGAGGGAACGTGAGTTGCTTTATCCTGATGCATGTGGAGGAGGTGGTCGAGGATGGTTAAGCCAAGGAATGGCAGGCTATAGCAGAGGGCATGGAACAAGAGAAACATGTGCTCTTCATACTGCCAGATTATCTGTCGACACATTGGTAGATTTCTGGTCGGCACTTGGCGAAGAGACTCATCAATCTCTTCTAAGAATGAAGGAAGAGGATTTCATGGAAAGGCTCATGTACAGGTGTGCCCTGTCCCTCTTCTCCTCTTCTCGTTCTTTTTTGACTTTCTTGCTTCTCAAATAAACAGAAACCAGTTTCAAGCAAGTTCAAGAATGTTCAGTGCTGGTGGTTGGTAGAAGTCAAACATTTAACTGTGTAAGAAATAGCCGAAGGAAAAAATCCTGGTAGCTAGATGGATGGTCAATTTTATTATATAATATTCTGAAAGCATTGTAATAACTAAGCAGTTCATATCAATTTTACGAGCTAACATGTAATTGTTAAATCCTTATGTTTTGAAAAATAATACCTAAAAAATCTGGTTGAAAATCTGATAGCAAGATGACTGGTCTAATTAATGACAATAAAAAATAATGATTTTTTTTTTAAAATTTGTTTGGGAAGCTGTTGGTATGGGTTGAGTTATGCCATGATATTAAGTACAAAGGTATTCTGGCAACTTGGTGGCTAAGTCGAACCAGGAACTCAAAATTTGATGCTCTTTGTTGGAGCATGCAGTTCAGTTAATATGATAGTGGTTAGGTAGTGATTAGCTGTACTTGTCTGACCACGTGTGCAAGGGCAAGAAGACTCGCTTTTGGAAGTGAGGAGCTAATTTTAGTTAATGGAATTTCTTGCATGAAATGATTAACATGTGTTAGCAGTTGTGATGTTTGAATCTAATAGATGTAGCCCTTAAATAAAAGAAGCAAAGCAGTGAATGAAAAAAACAAGATTATTTATTACAACTACAACAGAAAAAGAAATAGGGATCATGCTTACTACTAGTGAACCCTTTCCTCCTATATTGATTTCTAGTACAATGTAAAAAGATCAAAATTTCCATTTAAAGAAGTTAAGAGAATCCCAAGATCTATAATTGGCAACAAGTGCTCTAATAGCAAATATAGTTCCTATATTTTTCCCTGGGTTCTCATGATCACAAACCTACCCTTTTATTTGAAATATTCTTTTTTACTGGGTTGTGGGTTGATTTGAATATTCATTGCCTGTTGCAGGTTTGATAGCAAGAGGTTTTGTAGAGATTGCAGAAGAAATGTTATACGCGAGTTCAAAGAGCTCAAGGAGCTAAAACGCGTGCGAAGGCAACCACGTTGCTCAAGTTGGTTTTGCGTAGCAGATACAACCTTCCAGTATGAGGTGTGTTTTGATGGGTTTCAGTGCTAGGACACACACACACACATCTAATCAAGCATAGATGCTTTCTGAATTATGTAAATTTTAGACATTCAGACACTCACTTAATGGCATCGCATCTTGTGATTTACTCCAAAAATTGCTAAAATTATGACACATTTTATCATGTCAACCTCAGGTCTCTCATGATACAGTTCAAGCGGATTGGGACCAAACATTTTTAGACACATTTGGGACTTATCATCACTTTGAATGGGCTGTAGGATCTGGGGAAGGAAAATCTGATATCTTGGAATTTGAAAATGTTGGCTTAAGCAAAAGAGTTCAAGTGAACGGTCTAGATCTTAGTGGTTTGAATGCTTGCTACATCACTCTACGGGCTTGGAAAATAGACGGGCGCTGCACTGAACTTTCTGCGAAAGCCCATGCTTTGAGGGGGCAACAATGTGTACATAGCAGGCTTGTGGTTGGTGATGGTTTTGTTACGATCACCAGAGGGGAAAGCATCAAAAGGTTCTTTGAACATGCTGAGGAGGCTGAAGAAGAAGAGGTATTAAAATAATTTAGGGGCTTAACTAACACTTTTGGTAGTCACTAGTCAATAATTTTCCTGCATCCTTTGAATGACAGGCAGGCCTCGTACTGCGTCCCTCAGCTCACCTTTTCTTTTCACCATCTTTCTTGGCATTATATTTATTTCATTGTTATTTTCAGGATGATGATTCTGTGGACAAGGATGGAAACGAGCTTGATGGGGAATGCTCCCGTCCCCAGAAACACGCGAAGAGTCCTGAGCTTGCTCGAGAATTTCTTCTAGACGCAGCAACTATAATTTTCAAGGAACAGGCACGTCTGTCCTCTCTTTTGCTTCTCATTTGTTGTCCTGTTGAATTCTCACAGAATAGCTGACAGGTGTCTTACCATATGAACGTATTTATAGTTTCTTGTCTTTGTACCTTTTTGATGGAATATTGATGGAATGATACCCAAGGAGTAGAATTCCATGTTTGTTTAACTTAAAAATCAATTTAAATGACAGTTGCTTCGGATGCCTTGTAATGATTTTTGATGGTCGAGCTGTCAAATTCTAGACAGAGCCATAGTTGCTTCTTGATGCATGTTGATGCCTTTTCTAACTAAGTCTTCAAAAATATGGCTACTTCATGTTTATTGTCAACAGAAATGGTCATGTTCGATCTTCTAGTGCTACAAAGTTGTCTAATAATGAGATAAAATTTGGGGTTAATGCGCACGCATCTTCAAATATGCTTTGGCCCATTTTAAGATCGATTTTAGAAATAATTAGAAGTTTTTTTAGGTGCTTGATAAACTTAAGAAAAACTGATTGTAGAAGAATCTGCACCATCTGAAAATTTTGAGAAGCAGCAAAAAGGTAGCTTCTTAGATTTTGCCTTTAGCTTCTCCAATTATCTATAAATAACATAATAATGTTAACTCTAATTAATTCCTTTTATAATCTATGGATTATGCTTTTATTTTGTAATTTTATAAATTTTGAGATTTAATAGATATTTTACTTTTTTTCTTTTTAAATTTACTATAGTGAATACTTTGTCTTAGAAAAAATTGATGCTGTTACATAAACATAATGTTATGAAGTAAAAATAAAATGACATGATTATAATAGTCCTCAATGATAATTATATTACAAAAGGCCATTGATACTCAATGTTCATTTTAGTAATTTTATGCTAGCACAACAGTAATTCACATTTTTTTTTACCAAATGCTAAAATGCTGATCTTGAAACATATAATAATTTTGAAACAAAAGTTAACAAACACTTAATTGATTCTTCCGGTAGTTGATTCTTTCTTCAGCACAGCAAAGGCTGATTAAAACCACACCAATACCAAACCAAGCCATAATGTACTATCCTGATCTTATTTTTGATTAGCACGTACATTTTTGTATTTAAATGTTTTCTAACTAGTCAGGAGATTCTTGTCAGGTAGAAAAGGCTTTTAGGGAAGGAACTGCGCGGCAAAATGCACACAGCACTTTTGTATGTCTTGCTATAAAATTGCTTAATGATCGTGTACACGTTGCATGCAAGGAAATTATTACTTTAGAAAAGCAGGTAATGAACCTTCAATATTGTATTGTAGATTACTGAGTTAGAATCTCATCTTCAATTTTAATGTTTTTCTCTGATTTTCCTTTGAATTGTAATTCGACAGATGAAACTTCTTGAAGAAGAAGAAAAGGAAAAGCGTGAGGAAGAAGAACGCAAGGAACGCAGGAGAACAAAGGAAAGGGAAAAAAAGCTTCGAAGAAAAGAAAGATTAAGAGAGAAGGAAAACAGGGAGAAAAAAATTGCTGAATTAAACCAAGATTCCGTGGTCTCAGATGTTACAAAGGAGGAATCATCACTCAATCTTGACATTGATGAAAACGTCACTAGCAACAGAAACTCTCTTGGTGAAATAGGTGAAGCTGTCCCATCCAGTCCTTTATCCCCTGACATTCAAGATAACCAACTTTTGGACCAGTATATTTATTCAGATATGCAAAACTACAATGAAGACAGTCCTGATGGGGAATATGTCGATGTAAAAGATTGGAACAGTTCAATCCCATATGATCACTTCAAATATTCTCGTAGGAAGCCAAAGTTTTGGAAAGATTTCCAACACGATTTAAACTTGAAATGGTCTGATAGGAGAAAAGCTGCTGTTCTGTTAGAGAGTGGAGGTATGATTAGCAAATATGAATCAAGATATCAGGGTGATAATTTTAAATCTTCAAGGAGCATAAATGGCTTCTCTAAGCAATTGAGAAATAATGCTGCAAAGTCCAACACTAGAAATAGTGGCTCCAAATTCAGTGAGAAGTTCCAGTGTACTAACAATAGGGTAAGTGACAGATATGACTCCCATGCTTGCAGCTGTAACTATCATTATGATTACAGAGCAAGGGCAGAGAGAGCAGGCAGTGAGCCTAAATACGTTAACAAGTCGGAGTCAGCATCAGATATATCAAAACCATACTACCGTGGGAACAAGTACAATCAAATTGTGTGCACACGTGAGATAAACGAACGAACTAAAAGCAAAATTATTGCTGGAAACATTGCATCTAATACCAGGAAAGTTTGGGAACCAATGGATTCGAACAAGAAATACATCCGAAGCAACTCAGATACCGATGTTACTTTGAGATCTAATCTGAAGGTTGAAGCTAGTGAATCTGATCAGCTTCCTGGATCATCAGGTGCCACTAGTTCTGATGAGTTGACAGATATTTCAGTTCAAGTCAATCTCGAGGATAATCATGTACAAAAATTAACAAAGCCGAGTATTGAAACTATTAGAAACGGACAAAATGGATTACATGAAATGGAAGAGTCCCCACAATACTCAGAGAAGGTAGCAGATGAACACGGCAAATTATGTCCTATGACGAGATCCTTGCATGGGACACTAGATTCGTCAATGAGCAGCTGTTCTAACTCAGATAACTGCTCCTTTTGCCTCAATGAGGGAGACAGCAATTCATCTTCAAACCCCCAAAATTTGGAATTATCATCCAACTCGGATTCAGAAGATACCAGCCAAAATTCAGAGGGAAGAGAAACTTCGCATTGCCTTGAAAATCGCTTCACTGAGTGTCGTGGAGTTGTGCTGGAGAGTTTGCAGAGCACAGATAGGGGGGAAGATGTTAGAAACTGGACACATTGTGCAGGAACCAACTCCGTGGAAAATTTGCCTACAAAAGCAGCTCCAGAATGTGATATTGGGAGAGCAAATATCAGTGTAGGTGACCAACCACAAAGTTTGCTTCCATCATTTCAGAACCAAAGCATGCACTTTCCAATGTTCCAAGCTGCTACAATGGGCTACTACCAACAGCGTCCAGTGTCTTGGTCTGCAAGTTCTGCGAATGGATTGATGCCCTTCCCCCACCCCAGCCACTATTTATTTGCTAGCCCTTTGGGGTATGGTCTGAATGGAAACACGCAATACATGCAGTATGGGCCCTTACAACATCTGTGCCCTCCAGTGCTTAACCCTGCTCATCTGCCCGTTTTCCATCCAGTTGCCCAAGTTAGTGGCATTTGTTCAAATGAGCTTCCCAAGATTTCCAATCTAGGTGGACTCAAATCACAAAACAAATCTGATTTGCAGAAGGCTACCCCAACTGTGCAAGATCAGATAGAAGCACCAACAGCTGTGGAAACTGAGCAACATGGGAAGTCTGACAAACCTGACATGGAGAATACAGGTTTCTCTCTTTTCCATTATGGCGGCCCTGTAGCTCTTTCAACAGGATTTCAATCAGATCCTGCCTGTTTGAAAGAAGGGATTACGGGGGATATTTCTCCAAATTTATCAGCAGACAACCCTGAGAGCGATCATGCCTGCAACAAGAAAGATTCCATTGAAGAATACAACTTGTTTGCGGCTAGTAATGGGATAAAATTTTCTTTCCTCTGATATAGTTTGATGTATGAGGTGGCTGTTTCTGATATTCTTCTGAGTGATGGAAGCTTTGAGGACGTTGGTAATTTGGCCCATATAATCCTTCTGTGAGAAAACTTAGCGTCCTTTTATTGTCTACTTGATTGTTTTTCTTTGTTTTGTTTATTTGTTTTCCCTTCCGAAAGAAAGTTTGATAAATTTCACGATAGATGATTAATGAGATGAGCTTCTTTGAATTCTTTGTTTGCATGATGTTACTTCTTGCATTCTTTCACAGAATCCATTCATTTTTGGGATGCCTTCGTGACCTGAATATGATTACTCCATTTTCCGGCATCAAGATAACTAATGTAATGACCGACCTGGACGTTAAAACCTCCGGAAGATTAATTTGTACGTCCATGTGATATAACACTTTGATTGGGTTCTTTTGAGTCCTTCAAAACCGCTTTCAAAAGAGCGTAAATCGAATTTTCCAGTTCAATTGAAGACAACTTTGAGGATGTTTAGAAAGAGGTCGGTCTTATAGGTGACAGAGTCTCCTCTCCATGCCAATTGAAGACATTGGAAGAAGTTAGATCTCGAATTATACTTTCATAAAACTAGAGGAAATGTGTCTCATGGGCAATGGCTCAGTTGAGATTTGCTGTCCAAAATTGACTATCCAACTTGTTGATCATCCAATGATTTGTTGACACATCACTTTAAATTAACATGTCCAACTTTTCTAACCCACTCGTGCTTCAAAATAGGTATAAAATGATATTTCAATGAATTATTGGTGAACGGCAAGTTGGATAGTGGACCTCAACTCGCAATGGCTTAGCACATGAAAAGTGTAGTTTGAATGGGCACCCATATGTACAATTATTATCAGGTAGAATTTACCTTTAAAATTGGCTTAAAATGAAATGATGTCTACTTTATTATACATTCACAAACCATGCATTAGTTTAACAACGTGAAATTAAGCCCGTGCATCGGTGGATCCATCCAGGTATTTCAATACCTGAAATCATCCATTATATTTCGAGTGTTTCGTGAATGGTACCATTAGAATCTTGTAATTACTGGAATCAAATCTAAACCTGAACTTCGGGTTCAGTTTTACCCATAACATTTTTTTATATACATTTAATAAATGTTTCCGTATAGGCACTTTCAATACATATATACCTTACGCGCTACTACTCGACAATATTTTCACCAACCTCTAAAATACAACAATGTGATGTGAGGCGAGAGACAAAAAATTAGGAGATAGTCTTGATTTCTTAGGATTAGAGTAGAGTTTTAGACAAATTCCTACCCAAATAAGTTTTTAAATTGTGTAATTTTTTTACCCAATTTATAAATTGTAAACCAAAAAATTATATAAAAAACAGTTCCATTCAAGTACCCACAGTTTTATTTTAGGAACCAAAAACCTGTTGGAATTTGGTTAAAATTGGTTAAGTAAAACATAAAATTTGTTTAGTAAAATTAAAAAAAAGTCGATTTTGTACCAACTTCGTCCAAATATTTGGACAAGTTCCGATAATCAAATCATGCAAATGAATAAACTAACTTGTTCTTCTCGTCAAGTAGATGGTCGTAATATATTTAAAATTTCAAAACCAATTTCGGATGAATGAAAAATTAAGATTCAAAGTTAGAGGAAAAACGGGAACCAACATGTAAAATCACCGCTCAAGCTGCAACCTCACGAACAAGAAGCGGTGATCTCCCTGCTATAGGTGCTCAAGAGACGTTCGGGATGGTCGCGAGCTGCTTGAACGACTGCATCCCTTCGTGAAACATGTTGAGTTTGGGTGTGTCTTTTTGGTCACAACCCCTCATCTTCTATAAATAAGACCTCTTAGAAAGCTAGATCTCATTCCATATCAATTCCATAACACATATTCATTGATTATATTACATCAAATTCATTGCATTGTCTTGGTTTTTATTGCATAAAATTCATTAAAAGTATAGGGTGGCAAAGCTAATTTCGAGTTCGATGGTCTACGTAATTTGAAGTTTTCATATTGTGGGGACGTGGTCATTGTATTTTGGAAGACGAATATCAAAAAATTGTTAGGTCTTGTGCGGGGCATAATCGTCTTAAGGACATAGAGTTCAACTATTACCTCAATCAATTTATATAGGTTGCATTTCTTCTTTTCTGGTTTCAAGTTCTTTAACTTTTGTTTCGATTTCGGGTAATGTTTGATTTAATTAATCCTGCAATAAGAAATCACTTCTCGTTTCTTCTTTGATTTCGGCAAGTCGAAATTTGGTTCGATTTCATACATTTAAAAGGTATGTTTATTAGAATATATATGCAAGTTTGTATATTATTCTCCAACAAAATCGACCCAGATCCAGTTGTTTTCAATTTTGGTTCCTAATTTACTTTTTGGAACCGGACTGAAATCTCCGATTTTGATTTGAAAGGTTTGATTTTGTTTAAAATATCCGGGCGTAATTAAAATGTAACATGAACAAATGTTAGACCTCCCCCAATCCTCGATTTTTTTTTTTTTTTTATGTAAGGATGCGTTTGATTGTGAGCATGTGATTTGCATGAAAAGAAAATGAATTGCCTAAAATTTATTTGTATGAAAATTATTAATTAAATTTGTTTGATTGATTTAGTTTTTAACCTAAAAAATATTATACTTGTCCATTTTATTAGTTGGCAAATAAAAGAGAAAGAAAGAGTGAATTATCTTGAAAATAAAAATCACCACTCCTTAGAATTTTTTTTTTTTTTTGAGGAAAACATAATCACGTGACCAAAAGTTTGAAAAATATTTACCATGGAAAAAAATTGTTAATCAAACACCAAAAAGTTAGAATTTTTGTCGAAAAACGATATTTTCCATGGAAAATAAAGTCAACCAAACACACTCTAATTGTTTGAATTTTTTTCTTGTTATACGTGGTGATCCTTTTCAATTTTCTCTAGATCGACTTGCTCCATTTTTTTTAAAACAATGTGTGCGTGGAGTTTTCCGTGTCCGCTAAAATCTAACTAAACTTCTTCGTAATTTATTTTGAATTATTCAAGACCCGGTTAAATCTACACTAAATTTTATATTTAGTGTTATCATGATCATTCAATTTGATTTTATTTTATCATGACCACTCAACTTTATACTTAATGTCACTGTGACCACCATTATTTCAACTGATCATCCAAATTGGGTGGCCACCGTGAAACGGTGAAATGTCATATGAAATTGGTTGGATGATTGTGGTGAAACGTTGGGTGGTCGTGAAATAAAATCAAATCAGCCGTTACAATGATATTAGTATAGAGTCAAATTGAATGATGACCACCAGACTAATTATAAAATTGAGTGGGTATTGGTGAATTTAACACTCAAGATCCACTCTTATGAATCTCACAATTGAGTATTGGATCTTTGGAAGTTTTGCAGGTGTCTTCTTCTTCAACGACCTCTTTCTCAGAGACATAGAAAGAGAGACCGGTGGGAAAGAGAAAAATCATAAGAGGAACAAGAATTAGAATAAATATATGGAAAGCATACCGGGTTGGCAATTACTTTTTCTAGGTGGAATAGCAACATGGATTGTGTTTTCTTCAATTCTCAATGTGACCCAGAAACTCAGATCTCTTACACAGCCATGGGTCTCTCACTATGTATTGTCTGGTACTTCCATTGTTCTCAAGATCCAGGTTTGAATATGCGGGCTTTGTTTATCTGAAGAATATGCATTGAAAGATTGATTTTTATGGGGCTTTTGGAATGATTTTGATTTGATTTTGTTGGGTCCTGCAGAAATACGAGCATAGATATTTGGATGCGTTCTTTTCTGGGTTGTCTTGTGTAGTTTCTGTGCCTTTCTACACTGCCTTTCTTCCTTTGCTCTTCTGGGTTTGTTCTCTATCAAGCCCTCGCTGATCTACATTTGTGTTTGTTTATTTGTTTCTCATATTGACCACGATAGATCTATTAAAATTATTTGTTGAGGGAATTAATCATTGATGTTGTTTTCCTTAATTATATATTGTAGAGTGGGCATTGCAAATTGGCTAGGCAGATGACTCTTTTAATGGCCTTCTGTGATTATATGGGAAATTGTATAAAGGTACTCTCTTTCTCCCTATTTTAATAATCACGTATATAAGTATCTATTTCCACGCTTAATTTTGCGTAGATTGATTTCAAGCCTATTCTGCAATTTTTTGTTTTAACCATGTTTCGTAGGATGTGGTATCAGCACCCAGACCAAGTTCACCACCTGTTAGGAGAGTAACGGCCACCAAAGATGAGCAAGATAATGCAATGGAATACGGATTGCCTTCTTCACATACTCTTAATACTGTCTGCTTATCAGGGTATGGAGATTCACTCTCTTCTTTTTCTTGTAGCTTTTTATGCTTCTGGTTGAACTTTGATAAAACTAGCTAAACAATCGTAATGCATTCGAGATGCATATTATGCTGACTTTAAGTCGTTTCTCCTTGAGAGTGTACATGAAATACTTTTATGAAAACCACACGTTGTGAGGGTGTATATGAACTACTTATGCAATGGTCATAAATGCAGAGTTATAGTACGGCTACATTTTTCGTGCAATTAGTTTCATTGTCCATGCAAAAAATGCATGTGTTTCTGTGCCAACATATGGTTCTAATTGTTAAAAACTGTTACAGTGTACTAGTTTTAGCCAATTTGAACTTTAGAAATGAAAACCTTAAAAAACTGTTACAATGTTCCACTTTTAGCAATTTGAGCTTTAGAAGTCAAACCCCGTATCTACTAGGACATGATTTATCTCGTGCTTTAGCTTTTCAATGCTTTACATAAACTTAAATCTCGAGTTTCGTTTTGGGCAACCAGGTACTTGTTACACTACATATTGTCCTATACTGGAAGTGATGATGTCAGCACAGAATTAATGGGGTTTTCATTGGTTTGTTTGGTTGTTGGTCTTATTGGTGTGGGTAAGTTTCACTTTATTCCTTACGTTTTTCACTTCTCTTTTATTCTATTTATAATTCACTATGTAGCCTGTCTGAAAATTTGTTATCTTGCAGGAAGAATTTACCTGGGGATGCACAGCTTGATCGACATTATTGGTGGTCTAGCTCTTGGATTGGGTATCCTGACATTTTGGCTCTCTGTTGACAAATACATAGATGATTTTGTAGTTTTAGGACAAAAGGGTAAGGATGCATGGCCTGCGCTACATGTCATCTTTGAGTCGCAAATGTTGCTGTCTTTATCTTAACTCATGTCATGTGACTTGTGCTTGTGAATACACTAGAAAGGTGGCAGAGTGGCTTCCTTATTTAATAAAACCATAGTATTCTTTTAATTTAGTAGTGAGTGTAACATTAATATCTGATATTGGCAAACTAATGATTTGTGATAAAGTAAACAAAGTCTTACCAACTTGGTAAAAACGTAACTACCTGTCGGCAGAGCTCGACACGCTAAAGAGTAAATGTGTAGTTACCTATTAGCTCGCAGCTAATAGGTAACTTTTAATTTCTCTTACATGAACAATGTTTCCTTATTCTGCTAAAAATAATTGGCTATTACCTTGCTATAACTGGTAGTTATGAAGACTTGTTTTGTTATCTCATCTTTTTTTGATGCCCCTCTTCTTCCATCCCAACTGTCAAACGACATCACACTTCTTCCATTTGCATTTCCCAGTTGAACATGCATAAGTTATGTATGCTATTATCTCTCAGTTTATCTACCGTAGGTATCTGCTTAACCTTCCAATGAACGTGCGTAGCAATCATGTCCATGAATGTATTTATTTCTAACTGAAATATATTTTGTTTTTGTGCTGATTTATCTTAGAATTGTATTTCTACTCTTCCTATAATGTTGATATGTTATCTCTTAAGTTGATTTGCTTTCTTTCTTTCATTCAGTCTGTATAATCTTCCTTAAATGTCACAGTATACCTATTGAATTATATTCTTATACACTTTTCGAATATTCCACTCTGTTTAGTTCCAGCACATCACAATACTGACGAACTTCCAAGCCGTCTGAAGATGTCCTTTTCATATCATCCAATACAAAAGGTGTCAGTTGCATTGGTGATCAGTTGAAGTGTGTCATGTTAGCAAATGTTAGCCTATTGAATTGAATGTGCTCTAGTACAGCATCAAAAGCATTTAGGAGCAATAAAGTAGAACTGAAATACCAAAGATCTGAAACTCTTGGATTTTGAACTTCTTGGAAATAGTAAAAGTAAGCTAAAAAAAATTACGATACAATTCAAGCTTTTATTGAAGAACATGGTGCCATGGTATAATCATGTCTGGAGTAGTTTTATTAGTTGGATGTGTCCTTCGGTACTTGGTGTGCTTTGCCTTTATTGAGTATAATCTTTAAGTATTTGATGTGTCTTTGATGCCTTCATATCCTTTTGTTGCAGTTACATCGTTCTGGGGTACTCTTAGCTTCTTGTTACTCTTCGCTTACCCTACGCCAGAGCTTCCAACTCCAAGTTTTGAGTATCACACAGCCTTCAATGGTGTTGCCTTGGGCATTGTAAGCATATTTTTGCAGCTTTTTAATTTTGAAGCTGTTTTCAATTTTCAAGTTAGTCGTTTGTGTTAGCAGCAATAATGTTGCCACTGCAGGCAGAGCTAATTTGTATTTTGCATGTTTCTTTTCATGTCTTGACATTAAACTTTTCTTTTGCTAAATGATATGAAACATGAATGGACATCCAATTTTTTGAGATATGCGAGTTTCATGACTTGAATAACTTTTTCCAGGTAATTGGGATACAGCAAACGTACCACCAGTTTCACCACGAAAATGTTGCACGCATCTTGACCCCTCAACTTAGGCTTCATGCTTTTGTGGGTAGAATGCTTTTGGGAATCCCAACAATACTTCTCGTGAAGTTCTGTAGCAAGGCGCTTGCCAAATGGATTCTTCCCATTCTCGCTTATACTTTGGGAATCCCAGTAAGATCAACTAGCTATATACCAGCATTAAATAGTGCTGGTAAAAAGTCAGATATAAAGCAGTCCGGCTATGTCCAAAAACTGCTCTTTTTCTCAAAGCAGACCTCATTTGATGTTGACACAGGCACGAGGCTCCTTCAGTATGCTGGTCTTGCGTGGTCTACAGTAGACCTCGTTCCCTCTCTATTCTCTCACCTAGGCCTGTGATGCTTGGCTTGTGCCTTTTTCATAAAGGAAATATCTTTTTTCTTTAGCAATTTTTTTTTTTTCATTTTTCGTTTTTGGGATTGTGAGGTGGGGTTTGCTATGTTGGGCAGTAAATAGAAAATATTGTTGCTATTTTTGTAGGTCTATTGTTTAGAATCATTCTGAACTTTGATGTATAATATGTGATTATAATTGAAGATGATTGACTTCTGGGGTTCTGCTACTGTTAATATGATAGACTTGGCTGATATATACAGCGTTTGGGAAATTCTTAGAGGGGAATGCTTCTTGTTGTGGTACTTCTGATTCCAATAAATGATGTTTTCTTGTATTGTTTGGATTTGAGGAAATAATTTACGCTTACTAGCTTTGGCATTTGATCATAACATTGACTACCTTGGAAACTGAATTCATGAAGTTCTAAGACAAGAATGAAGCCTAAGTTTTCTCGAAGTTCAATGTAGAACCGAGGAAACTCGGGCGGTTATGATGGTTAGGAAGTCTTCTATTTGTTCCATCTTATAAGAAATTACAGTAGTTAGGAAGAGAAATAAGGCAGCAGTTTGTTTGCATTTGGCTGCAGAAATTAACCACAATTATTTGGGCAGAAGCCACATTAGTTTCGCAATGATCTACCCTTCGTCACATGCCTCCTTAATCCTGGAGTGGTCATTAGAGAAGAAATCTTTCCAATCTATGTTCTCATCATCAATCCCGAACTGATGTATTTCCTCCTTTGACATAAAGCCCATCAGTCTTTGTGTTGCTATTGTAAAAATTGTTCTTTCTCCAAGCAGAACTTATGTATCGTTGGCACAGGCAGAAGGCTCCTTCAGTATGCTGGTCTTTTCTGTTCCTTCTCTATTCTCTCACCTGTGTCTGTGATGCTTGGCATGTGTTTTTAATTTTTTATTCTTTTTGTAATAGAATATCATTTTTGTTTGACAATTTTTTTTTTCCTTTTTCTGTTTTGCTATGTTCAGGGTGGGGGGTTGCCATGTTGTGCAGTATTAAACAGAATATATGCTATTTTCGTAGGTCTACTGTTTAGAATCATTTCCTAATTTGGATGTATAAATGAAGATAGTTGACTTTGCAGCTCTGTTACTGTTAATATGGAAGTTTTGGCAGACAGAAGAAAATTTTACTATTGTTTCGAGATTTGAGCACTAAGGTTCGAGGAAAGAATTTAAATTTATTAGCTTTGCATTTGATCATAACATCGACTGAATTCATGAAGTTGTAAGACAAGCATGAACCGAGGGAACTCATACCATTATGATTTATCATAGACGTACATTGAAATGATAATACATTGGGGATAGGTAGGCAAGTCTTCTTTTCATCTAATCTTATAGCAAATTACATAGTTAAAAAGAAAAAAAAGGAAGCAGTTCTTTTACAGTTGGCTTCAGAAATTCTTCCAGCGGAAGCCACTACAGTTCCTCAATCATCTACCCTTTGTCACATGCCTCCTTAATCCTGGAATGTGGACATTAGAGATATAATCTTTCCAATCTATGTTCTCAACATCAAATCCGAACTGCTGTCTTTCCTCCTCCGACATGTATCCCATCAGTCTTTTAGTGTTGCTATTGTCAAACCTGGCAGTATTTTTTATATACATTATTGATATATTTGGTATGCTGGACAACAGTAATTGACATGATTAAGGAAGAAAAACATAAAGCACAAAGAAGTGCACAATCTTAATTGTACCTTCCACCGTAGAAAGTGTATGGTTCATAAATATTAGCCAAGTATTTTGCTTGTTCCACTGATTTCCTGCAGATACTTTTGAGCTTCTGGGACAACTTCCCATCAAGGTTGGCCAAAGCTCCTAGCCCACTTCGTTTAAGTGCCTCTCTCCAAAGGTGAGAGGAAAAATCTTCCATAGAGCTGAAAAGCTTCATTGATGGAACACGAATTGGCGACCCTGTTGAGTCAGTGAATGGCGAGGAGTTGAAGTGTTCATAGAGCAATCTGGCCAGGTCCTTGAAAACTAACGGGTTCACGATGGAAGAAGCAATTTGATAGATATTACTTTCAGATTTTCCAGCCGCCCCGTGCTTTGCCATGGCTGCCAATGTTGCATTGACCACCATATCAGCTGGAACCTAATGCAAGCTATTTGTTAAATATTCTATATAAAAAAATGCAATCTTCTTATAATTTGAGGATTAATTTTAAAGGCTTATAATTTACTTTCTTTCAAGTATTCTTTTCCCACAGAAAGTTATAAGGAGGTTCAAGTGAGAGACCAGATGACGATGAGACTAAAGATCACCGGTTTATGAAGTTGAGTCGAGCTACTTACTACATCAAGGACTCCGTTGGGATCTACCAGAAATCCGGTAAGTTGTCCCTTTCCGTAATAGAGAATAATTGGATCCATCATCCTGGGGAGGAAAGGCTCTTAGTATCAAGGTTCATCATCTTAGTCCATATTGTTTTTTTGGGGAATGGACTAAACAGAATAATAGACAAGATTCTAGTTTTTCCTTTCTTCTTTAATACTATTCAGTACTATCAGTTGTTTAAACTTGTCATAAAATTACCTGCTCCCTTCCATCCATCCAGGGAATGGCTCTTTGTATGTGCTCTCAATAACACTTGGTCTCATTATAACTACTGGTATGTCACCTCTCATACTATCAATCATCATTTCTCCCATAGCCTTTGTAAATACGTAAGTATCTTGCCACCCGAATTTGTTTGCCCTGATAAAAATCACCAGTTTCAGAGCATTGAAAATACAGTCACTTGAAGACACTGCCATAGAAACAGGAAGTGCAAAAATTTTGACAAGGAAAAGAACAATAGATCAAAAAAATTCATAGTGGGCGAGGTCGTGTAAGTAGTTGGTACAACTTAGGACTATCTTAGCCGGTAAAAAACTAAACCGGAGAAGTTAAATTTGAATACTTATTACCTCTCTAAACCGAGTTCTTTCATTTTCTGGACGAGTACATTATCTTCGAGAGCCTTTTTTGATTCCAAAACTAACTTGATTTCATCCTCAACTTGCAATGTAGGGAGGGATCTTTGTTGGTTTCCTAAAAGAAGACTCTCCATTGCTATACTATCTCCTAAGCAGAAAGGCTTCTCCATCACTCGTCCCTGTCGTTGCCCATTGACATATGCTGCATGCAACAAAAAAACTTCTCCAAAATGTTCTTCAATCAACAAGAATGTGATTTTCTCAGACAAATCTCTTTGCACTAGTCAATTTCTTTTTATAAATTTTGAAAAAAAATTCAGGTTCCTACTTCGAAATTATTTTAAATACACACACAAAATATATATACATTTACTTGCCTGTGGATACTTGCACAAAGAGTTTAAGTTTCTTGCACTGTTTTGCAAAGCTCATGAGACGGGTAGGTCCACCAGTGTTTATATCAAGGGCAACATCATACCTGAAACTCAAATAGATCTTCGATGTGAAATTTACTTATTTTCAAATTTTTGTTTAAGATTCTACTTATAATTGAAAATTTTGTTAACCTTTCATCAAAAGTTGTATTAGCTGCTGAATTTATGATTATATCAACCTCTTTTCCCATCACATCAGCTATATCTCCATCAAACCCAAGATTAAATTCGGAGACATTTCCAAGAACAGGGACTAACTTGCTTAATATGAAAGCTTGATAAGATTTTCCATAGGTTTCTTTCAGACACTGGAAAAGTTCTGCATTGATGATCTATGTATGTAATACAATAATATCCAAAAAATAATTAATAATTGATAAAATAAGCTCGAAATATTTAATCATCATTCAACCAAAGATAATATTCATACTTCATTTTTCAATCTCTCCATTGCAGCTTCATTGTTTTTTGCCTTGATCAAGACAAATATGTTACGAACATCAGGTGCTGTCCGCAGTATCTTCTCAATAAGAACTGGAGTTATTCGTCAAGAAACAAAAGACTAAACATAAATTTAGAGAAAATGATGTTCAACTGTGCTTAAAAGCTGTTTCTTTAGAAGTATAAGCAATTTTTAAGCATGGCCAAAGAGAAAACTGGAAAATGAAGAAAATGGCTTACCTTTTCCCAAGAAACCAGTTGCACCGGTAATGAGAAGGGATTTTCCTCTGAGAAACTTAACAATGCCAATAACATTATCATGATCATCATGCCTGTCCAACAGAGTAGATGAACCGCCGCCATAGGGTACCAAATCCTTGACCGCAATATCTGCAGCTGCCTGGCTATTCCCATTTGGGGCTAAAACTGCATTGCCTGAATCCATTAAACCCCTTCCATGATCTGTGCTAATCACCGTTGATTTTTGAATCAAAACAGAAGACACCCCACTAGATTTTAATGCATGATGTCCGCCACCACCACCTTGGTGGCAATAAACTATTTTCTGCTTATTCTTCAATAATTGCCTATTTTTGTCGGCCACTTTTGCAACCCTTTTTGATGCTACAGAGATAGAATTCAGAGACAAAGCATCCATTACTACAGAAGACAGGAACGAAAAGATAAAGAAATGCAAAACAAACTAATGCTTTGAGGTGAAATGTTAGCTAGTATTTTTTTATGCAAATAAAGAAAAAGCAATTAAGAAATAAGTAGTTTGAATAAGATATGAGTTTGGTTTGATTTAAGAGGGAGGAAAAGAGTGAGAAGATGACAATAAAAAGACTGTTGGATTGAGGTTTTTAAGGTTGTAGGAGATGAGAATTAGGAGAATAACAAGAAGGCTCTCTTTTTGCCACCCTGCACTCACTTACTTGCCAACGGCTAAATTGGCGAAACCCTTATCATCTTTCTTTAATTTATATCATTTTTTTTTATATTTTTGAGCAAATTTATTTTGGAAAGCAATGAAACGAGGAATAAGATTGCCCACAACCTGGCTTCTTTTGCTTCAAACTCAACTGCCATTCAGATTTATTTTTCAATTTAGATTATTTACAATCCAAAATTATACCAGAAGAAGGAGTGAGAATCATGGGACAGCTTCATGGGATTTCAAATTGATCGAGTTAATTAGCACGTGACGATATAAATGATTTAATTTATGCTACCTTAATCAAGAAGAGAGCATTCTTTCAACATTAATTATACAACAATAGATTACAACTAGCTAGTCGATAATGAATCAATCTCCAAAATAGAGCTTCTTTTCTATTGAATATTTGTTTCTTTTTGAAAGATGAGACAACCATAAGTATGAATTACTTAATAATTTAATTTTTCTTTGGTACTATTTTCAAAAAGCAAAGACATTTTTTAGACATGCTACATTCGAGTAACCGCAAGCAAAGTACACAATTACTTCTCGGACAAATAAACAACAAGATGAGTTTGGATGCTCGGAATTTAGTATATGATAATGTGGGCAGTTGCTCTTGAAAGATTACAAATAGCTTTTTTGGGAGTTTACCGCCCAAATAAGCCCCAAAAAAGCTAGTTTTAATGTGCTATTAGTATAAGGTAGAATGAAATATCAAGACTACGTGCTATTCAAAGTGCATTGTGCAAGCAAGAGAATATAAAACTTCAATTTTATAGGGATATTCCCATATATATATAGAACAATTTTTTAAGTTAGTATTTTTACTTATTTAATTGCTCGCCGAAGAACATGTTTCGTAATAATATTTGAGTTAGAACTTTCTTTTAAATCAGTAATAATTAAGCAGAAACCTTTGTTAAAACGAGAATGTGAAAATTGTTCGAAGACTTAATTTTAAATGTGTTAGGGCAATATATTCATTTTATTTGAAATTGTGAACAAGAAAATTATTAAAAATAAATATTTATGTTAATCATCTGTTACGTAAATAATAGCGTTTGTAGTCCAACGGTTAGGATAATTGCCTTCCAAGCAATAGACCCGGGTTCGACTCCCGGCAAACGCATTTTTATACATTTTCAAAATTCTGCATCTCCAAGTGGAAATTTTCATACAGTATGGTTTCGAAGATGAGCTTTTCTTTTCCTTTTTCCTTTAAACTGCCAATTCTATAACATCCCAACTTGAAAAAGATAGATTTTGGTTTCATGCAAGAAAAGGAAAGAAAGGAATATGCATTTCATTGCCTACTAAACTCATAGTTCTTTGTTTTGTTCACCTTTAATTCTCTTTCCTTTAAAATTGAAGTTCTTTCATTTAGGAAATTGTTGACGAAGTTCGGCAATTTTGAGACAATATCTCAACAAAATAAAAAATAAAAATCTATTAAGAGTAGAGTACGTGATATTTGTGGTGACAGTTGCGCGTGGTGATAGAAGCTGAGGAAGAAATAAGTGTAAACTATGATTAAGTTCCACGACATAGTCCTCCATAAACGTGTTAAGAGTACATAATATGTCAAAGTAGAAGGCTATCTAAAGTTTGTACTTAGCCCTTTTTGGTGTTAATTAAATTCAATTTTTTAGTAAATTTTGATAAATGTTGATAAAATATCTTGGTTGTGCTACATGTACGTCACCACTTGGTGTGCATACACATAATGTGGTGAGATATGATGGAGTTATAAATTCTTCAACCAAATAAAAAAAAATCAACCATGCTTAGTGATGATCTAATATTTTGGTTTTACGTGCCCCGACGGCCAACTACCTGCTTCCCTCCGGTACCAGTTTGGGGGTAAAATAGGTGTTTTCACATGCCGAATAACCGTCCTTTCATTTTCTTCAATTGGGAACATAAGTAGTTATATAAACGGTCAATATCTTCAATGCAAGTCTGTGCTAGCATGAGTTTGTGCTCTTTTAGCTCTTAGCCACACTTGAAGTCCTTCTAGGTAAGAATAAACTTGCTAGATGAAAGGGAATATCACATACTTTGCGTAAAAGAGATTCCATATAAAGCGAGGAGATTGCAACATGTAAAATGAAAATACACAAGGTCAAGCTAGCACTAAAGATATTTTTTCCACTTACAATGACAATTAGAGAAAATGATGCCATGATGCAAAATCATATTACTTGATTAGCTTTTATGAAACTACAACACTCTCAAGATTCTTCCAGTACAGTAATAACAAAAACCCAAACCCATATTTCTCAAATGCACGTTGGTTCATCTCTTTTTTCAGACTTCGATACATTTCTCAAATTATAAGTGTCACTAACCAAATTGTCTGATATTATCAAATGTATAAGGAGAGCAGATGACGATAGAAATGATGAGCCACAAAAGGTTTTTAAAATGATTGAAGGCCTTGTGAAGCCCACTGGCAAAAGGCTGTAACGCAGTAACCCCATTATATTGAGAAATTTGTATCGCAAAAATAATAAATGTTAATGAAATAATTGAATTTTAAAAAAAATGCGAGTTAGACGTCTTTTTTTAAGACTCGCGTTTAACGTATTTTTAGCTATTTTCGATATCTGTTTGAACTATTCGATATGCCCATAATATAGTTCTCGAAATAAGATTTGAGATGATATAAGCAATTTGTATATTCAATTAGCGTACGATCGTTGAAGAATTTTTAAAATTAACATGTNTCGATTAGCGTACGATCGTTGGAGAATTTTTAAAATTAGCATGTTATCGAAATTTAAATTTATTGTGACTTTTCCCCTGTTTGGTGGAGATTAAAATCAAATTTTTAGTAAATTTTGATAAAAGTTAAAACAGTTATGAATTTCATGAAATATGTTATTAAAATTAATTGTTAACTTTGATTTAGATTAAAATTTAGATTTCAATCGATACCAAACACGATTTTATAAAAAAATAAGGGGAGCACTTGCCCCCCAGGACCCCCGGTCCGCCCATGCCCACAACCAAATATTGCGCACGACTAATGGAAATGCATCTGAATATGCTAAAATAACTTTGCTTTTCAAATGGCGAGGAAATACTGAAGAAGAGTCAGAGCAAACACGATTCACTTATAACATCACCCAGCTCCGCACTTAGAACAGAAACATGCATAAATAAAAGTACAAGAATAACTTAAGTATAATTTGCTCGTTCCAGTAACCATGTTTGCAAAGGATTCAACCAAAAAAAAAAAAAAAGGCAATGAAATAGGAATACCGTCTAGACGAGAAAACAGATAGATCAAACGATCAATTAGATATAAGGGAACATTACACAAATAAGGTGGCTGTAAAATACAATTTCAAATTAGAGAAATTAAGTTTATTATTTCAAAAATCAGATTGAAATTAAATTCTATTAATTAAATAATTAAATATATTAAGGTCACGGTTAAATAATTTATGGTCACAATTTATTTATCGATTACATATTATCAAATTAATTGTTCAAAAAATATTTCTCGATTGCAAATCAAATTTTTTTATGTCACAACATATTTCACTATCAGAAATTATTAGATTAATTGGTCACATGTTATTTCCGAACCTCAAATTATTGAATTATTTGTCATAAGTTATTTTTCTCAATCTCAAATTATCAAATTATTTGGTTACATCTTACCAAATAGTCCTAATCACATGCTACAAATTTGGTCACAACACCAAATAATGGATTACAAACATTCTTCATCCCACTCCAGTGTTTCTCCCATCGTTGTCATCACTACCATCACAATACCAACACCAACACCAACACCAACACCCAACACCAACTCAATATCACCGTCAGCAACACAACCACACACATCGCCGCTACCATTCCCAAAACCGCCTACTCCAATAACTACCAACTACTTCCTCCACCACCACCTCCATCTGCAACTCCAATCAACCACCGCACAACCACCACCATCGCTTGCTAAAATCCACCATCTCTTTCAACAACACCACACCAAAGGTATTTAAATCTTACATTCTCACTGAGCTAGTAAACTTCGCAGCAGAAAACGACGAAAATAAATAAAAAAAAAAATCAACACATATATTAGGGAAATTGAAAATATCAAAACAAATTAAATCTCAAAGTTTATTATTGTTTGCACAGTTAAAAAAAAGGCATGATGCTCCGCACAGTGCAGAGTAATCAAATTTTTTGTACCCTGACACGGGCTGGTGTCTCCGCACTGTGCGGAGAGTTTTTTTTCTTCTTCTACCAAAAATGAATATGAATCACTTTGCCATTCAAACAGACACCAGCTCGCGTCTCCGCACTGTGCGAAGAGTTTTTTTTTTCTTCTTCTACCAAAAATGAATCTGAATCACTTTGTTATTCAAACAAAAATGACATCGAAAACCAAATTAAACATATGAAAACCAGCAGAACAAAAATTCTCAACCTTCTTTTCATCATTTCTTGGAATTCCCATAAAAGGATTGGGTCAAAAAATTTATACCTAGCTCGTCCTTGTTCTCATCGTAATTGCTCGGTTCTTTCAATTCATTTATCCCCAAATCCTCAATCATACCTCCAAGAACAGCTTACGGCACTTACAGAAGCAGCTTACGAGAACATATCTATCGGGGCAAAACCATAAAGGACAGAGCTCGATTGCTACCTTTTCTCCAAATAGGGATTGGAAGAAAAAAAAAATATTTTACAAATGAAAGATA